GGATGGATGGTTGGATGGATGGATGGATGGATGGATGGATGGATGGATGGATGGATAGATAGATAGAGAGAAGGAGGGAGGGAGCGAAGGAGGGAGGGATAGATGGATGGATGGATGGATGGTTGGATGGATAGATAAATGGAAAGATGGATGGATGGATGGATGGATGGTTGGTTGGTTGGATGGATGGATGGTTGGTTGAATGGATAGATGGAAAGATGGATGGATGGATGGATGGATGGATGGATGGATGGATGGACGGATGGATGGAGGGAGGGAGGGAAGAAGGGAGGGAGGGATAGATGGATGGATAGATGGACGGATGGATGGATGGATAGATGGACGGATGGATGGATGGATAGATGGAGGGATAGATGGTTGGATGGAAGGATAGATGGATAGAGGGATAGAGCTGACAAAAGAAATATGGTTTGTTCTGATTTCATGTGTACTTTCTGTTGCGCCACCAGGAGTCGCTTGTCTCCGTTTGTGAGCACACAGAGGTTTTGGTTTGCATTGAACACAGCTGGAGCGATGACACAGATGTGACGAAACAGAAAAGAAGCACCTCGGCTCTCCGTCCTCCTCCAATCCCCAAAAATAGAGCCACCGGCAGCAGTCTAATATAAACCAGCTTGTGTTCAGAGCGGGGCGTGCTGCTTGACTGAGCCTATTCATTGGCTTTCATCTGCATATATTAATATGAGAGAGCGTCTGTATATTTTAGGATGTAAAGGTTCAGGAGAGATTCGAATTCAGAAATGTTGTGAAAATGTCACTAAATAGATTTATTTTATAAAGGGGGGCCGATTATGTCACTTTTTTTAACAAGATGTAAAATAAGTCTCTGATGTCCCTAGAGCAGGGGTGGGCAAACTCGGTCCTGTCGGGCCGGTGGCCTGCACAGTTTAGCTCCAACTCTACTCAAACACCGAGTTTTCTCTGGGTGCTCCGGCTTACCCCACATGCGCTATAGGGGAATTGATGAACTACACTGGCCGTAGTGTATAAGTGTGTGTGTGTGTGAATGTGAGAGTGTATGGGTGTTCCCCAGTTGTGGGTTGCAGCTGCAAGGGTATCAGCTGTGTAAAAATAGTTGACAGTTCATTCCGCTGTGGCGACCCCTAATGAATAGAGGGACTATGCTGAAGGAAAAGTAATGAATGAATTAAAATTATATTAAATTAAACTAAATAAAACAAATGAGAATCCCTAATTTTCACTAATTCACTGAACATAATTAGTATCGTCATCATGTAAAATGCTGTAAATGGTTAATAAAACTGTTATTTTGTTACTTCCTCTGTTGACAAGAACTGAGAATCAGCATTAAAGACAACAAACTGACTAAATAAAAGCCAAATATTATGCTAATGAGAATCTTTGGAGAATATAAGGTCAAAATAAAAGATACACATAAATAAATAAATAAATAAATAAATAAATAAATAAATAAATAAATAAATAAATAAATAAATAAATATTACTTATAAAAATAAATAAATAAAATTGTATTAAACAAAACAAAATAAATAAAATAAAATATGAACAAAAATAAAACAAAACAAGATAAAATATAATAAAATAAAAATAAAACTATATAAAGAATTGGAAAATAATAAATAATAATAAAACAAAAAAGAAAACAAAAAGAAAACGAAACTCCTTAAAAATGGGGGTGGCATGGTAGCTCAGTGGTTAACACTGTAGCCTCACAGAAAGAAGGTCGCTGGTTCGAGTCCTGGCTGGGTCAGTTGGCGTTTCTGTGTGGAGTTTGCACGTTCTCCCTGTGTTGGCGTGAGTTTTCTCTGGGTGCTCCGGCTTACCCCACATGCGCTATAGGGGAATTGATGAACTACACTGGCCGTAGTGTATTAGTGTGTGTGTGTGTGTGTGAATGTGAGAGTGTATGGGTGTTCCCCAGTTGTGGGTTGCAGCTGCAAGGGTATCAGCTGTGTAAAAATAGTTGACAGTTCATTCCGCTGTGGCGACCCCTAATGAATAGAGGGACTATGCTGAAGGAAAACTAATGAATGAAATAAAATGATATTAAATTAAACTAAATAACACAAATGAGAATCCCTAATTTTCACTAATTCACTGAACATAATTAGTATCGTCATCATGTAAAATGCTGTAAATGGTTAATAAAACTGTTATTTTGTTATTTTCTCTGTTGACAAAATCTGAGAATCAGCATTAAAGACAACAAACTGACTAAATAAAAGCCAAATATTATGCTAATGAGAATCTTTAGAGAATATAAAGTCAAAATAAAAGATACACATAAATAAATAAATAAATAAATAAATAAATATTAAAATATTACTTATAAAAATAAATAAATAAAATTGTATTAAACAAAACAAAATAAATAAAATAAAATATGAACAAAAATAAAACAAAACAAGATAAAATATAATAAAATAAAAATAAAACTATATAAAGAATTGGAAAATAATAAATAATAATAAAACAAAAAAGAAAACAAAAAGAAAACAAAACTCCTTAAAAATGGGGGTGGCATGGTAGCTCAGTGGTTAACACTGTAGCCTCACAGAAAGAAGGTCGCTGGTTCGAGTCCTGGCTGGGTCAGTTGGCTTTTCTGTGTGGAGTTTGCATGTTCTCCCCGTGTTGGCGTGAGTTTTCTCTGGGTGCTCCGGCTTACCCCACATGCGCTATAGGGGAATTGATGAACTACACTGGCCGTAGTGTATTAGTGTGTGTGTGTGTGTGTGAATGTGAGAGTCTATGGGTTGCAGCTGGAAGGGTATCAGCTGTGTAAAACATATGCTGGAATAGTTGACGGTTCATTCCGCTGTGGCGACCCCTGATTAATAGAGGGAGTAAGCTGAAGGAAAAATAATAAATGAAATAAAATGATATTAAATTAAACTAAATAAAACGATTGACAATCCCTAATTTTCACTAATTCACTGAACATAATTAGTATTGTCATCATGCAAAATGCTGTAAATGGATGACAAAACCTCCCTCTCTGTCGACAAGATCGGAGAATCGGCACTGAAAATAACATGCAGACTAAATAAAAGACAAATATTATGCTAATGAGAATCTTTGGAGAATATAAGGTCACGGTGAACAAACGTGAAGTTAAATGATCCAACCAGACTTTCGGTTATAGACTACAGCATGACCTAGATATGCGATGCGGAGCGTGATCTCTCCGACACGGAAGGTAAATGTGTGTGTGTGTGTGTGAGCTGTGACCGTTTCTTGTGCTTGTAAGTATGCGCATGTATAAACTAAACAGCCCCGTCTGCACACTTCGCTATCACAGCATCTCAAGGCAATCTATTTTTGGAGGAATGCCTGGATTTCATTTTTCATTGCTTGTGCCATACTTCTGGAGTGAAAACGACATTCTCATCAAGTACAATTACCCTCGTAGGGATGCCAGATTTCAACCATTTAGCATGGCTGCAACTTTGAAAAGACTGCGATGTTAGTGAGGCTTTTAATAAACTTATAGTAAATAAATACTTCAAACTAACAAAGTGAGTGGTTATACTGTAGATCAGGGCACATATTAAGCAGGAATCACATTTATAAGGGGTTTAAACACAGCTGTGTGTGAACATCTCCAGCCTCTACATGTATTAATTGTATTGTTTATAATCAGACTTGATGAAAACAGACGGCAGAAACACTTTGATTGACATTCTCCCTTTGTATGATGTCATCAGAGAGGAAAAGAAATACCTTACACTGACTAAAACTCTCTCCACATTTAAGGGAAAGAAAGAGAGAGAGAAGCAATGAGGTCAAATGTGGATCTTTTAAGGGTGAGGCAAAGTCATGGAGAAATTATATATAAAAACAAAACATCTGCTGCAAGTTTCCACAGCGAACAGAAGAACACAGTGGCCTCCGTAATTCTTCAATGAGAGATGTTTGAAGTGAACATCACTCTTTGTGTTGCTGTCCGCCCAGAAATACTGAGCAACTGGGGGAGAAAAAGAGCACGATAAAATAAAAGAGCTGAGCAGATGTTTAGGAACTACACTGAGCTGGGCTTAACAGCAGGCTGGACAGATGAATAAATAAAATAAAATAAAATAAAATAAAATAAAATAAAATAAAATAAAATAAAACAACAAATATAAAAACAAAACAAAATAAAAATAAAGTAAATAAAATAAAAACAAATCACAAGATGAAAAAAGATAAAATATAAACATAAAATAAAACAAAATTAAATAACAAAACAAAAAATAAATAAAACAAAATAAATAAAATATAATATAAAATAAAATATAATTAAACAAAACAATATAAAATTAAATAAAAAATTAAATAAATAAAAATAAATAAACTATAATTAAATTAAAATAAATTAAATTAAATAAATAAAATAAAATAAAATATAAACATAAAATAAAACAAAACAAAACAAAATATAAAATAAAAATATAAAAAAATAAATAACAAAATAAAAATGAAACAAAACAAGATAAAATAAAAACAAAAATGTAAAAATAAAACAAAACAAAATATAATAAAAAAAATAAAAATAATAATAATAATAATAAATAAATAATAATAAAACAAAGAAAACATTGACTAAATAAAATCAAATTAAAATAAGGGGGTTGCATGGTGGCTCAGTGGTTAGCACTGTGGTCTCAGAGCAAGAAGGTCGCTGGTTCGAGCCCTGGTTGTTGGCATTTCTGTGTTATGTTTGCATGTTCTCCCTATGTTGGTGTGGGTTTCCTTGCCTAATTACCCTAACTTTACCCTAATTAACCTAGTTACGCCTTTAAATGACACTTTAGGCTGAATTCTAGTGTCTTGAAGAATATCTAGTCTAATATTATGTGCTGTCATCATGGCAAAGAGAAAAGAAAACAGCGATTAGAAATGAGTTATTAAAACTACTATGATTAGAAATTGGGGAAAAATATAAATAATTCTGACTTCAATTGTATCTCTCATTAAAACAATGTGAGTAATTTGATTTAATCGAGTACAAAACTTACCAAAATGATGAAGGTAACAGGGCCGATGAAACTCCAAATAAAGTGATTGTCGACCCTCAACCAACAGCTGGAAATAAGGAGAAAAGCAGAGAAACATCACACATTACACACACTTCAAAGTTTGAAGAGTGACAACCTTCCTCACTGGAAAGAATGAATTGCTACTAAATGAACGGTTCCCAACACTGTTCCTTGAGGCACACCAATAGTACACATTTTAGGATTTCTCCATTGTCTAACCCAGGGGTGCTCAACCCTGTTCCTGGAGATCTACCTTCCTGCAGATTTCAGTTGCTACCCATATCAAACACACCTGCCTTTAATTATCAAGTGGTGTTCAGGTCCTAATTAATTGGTTCAGGTGTGTTTGATATGGGTAGCAACTGAAATCTGCAGGAAGGTAGATCTCCAGGAACAGGATCGAGCAACCCTGGTCTAACCCATCTACTGTCTCTACTAACAAGCTGACGACTTAAAACAGGTGTGGAAAAGTTGGAGAATGAGGCAGAATACGATTGCAGAAAAAAAGTAAATAGTGAGTACATTTTCTTTTTTGGGTGAAATGTTAAACACTAAAGAAGATATTTTGAAGAATGCTGAAAACCATTGACTTCTACAGTGTTTGTTTTTCCAACTAATGAAGTCAATGGTTACAGGTTTTCAACATTCTTCAAAATATCTTCTTTTGTGTTCAACAGAAGAAACTTCTAAATGAATCGGAACCACATGAGGGTGAGTAAATTGTCATTTTTGGATGAACTATCCCTCTAATAATACAAATTTTCCCCCTAAATTTCCAAAAATGAATGCTAATGATTGGTTTTGTGTTGACAGTAACGTAATGGTGTCCTAACATGTGATAAACCCCAAAAAATGGAAAATCTGTCATCTTAAACTCATGGAAACTCATTGTTTTGTTTACTTAATACTGTTATCGTTTAGCAGAAAACCACTGACTTCCATAGCATGTTTTTTACACTAAAGAAGTCAATGGTTACAGGTTTCCAACATTCTTCAAAATATCTTATTTTGTGTTCAACAGAAGAAATACACTTCTAAACGAATCGGAAACACTTGAGGGTGAGTAAATAGTGAGTAAATTGTCATTTTTGGGTGAACTACCCCTTTAATATAATGCAGAGATTTCAATTTACAAAAATGAATTGGCTACTAATTTTGTTTTTCAATATACAAAATACGCGTTCAAACATGTTAAAAGGAGTGTTTTAGTCCAAACCACCTGGACAGATGAAAGAAAATCTATTCATAACAGACAAAACATTACTATTTAAAGGGATAGTTCATTTAAAAAATGGAAAATCTGTCATCGTTTACTCTCCATTCACTTGTTCCAAACCAAGCTTCTTTCTTCTGTGGAACACTAAAGAAGATATTTTGAAGAATGTTGAAAACCATTGACTTCAATAGTATTTGATTTCCTACTAAAGAAGTCAATGGTTACAGGTTTCCAACATTCTTCAAAATATCTTCTTTTTTGTTTAACAGTAAAAAATTAATTAGAAGTACTTGAAGGTGAGTAAGTAGTGAGAAAATTGTCATTTTTGGGCAAACTATCCCTTTAAGATAATGCATAAAATTCAATTTCTAAAAATGGCTACTAATGATTGGTTTTGTGGTGACAATATAAAATGTAAAACAGTGTCCTAACATGCGATAAACCCCCCCAAAATTAAAAAATCTGTCATCTTGCACTTACTGTTCCTTAAACTTATTGTTTTGATTACTTATTACAGTTCCTGTTTAGCCGAAAACCCCTGACTTCCATAGCATTAGTTTTTTCCACTAAAGAAGTCAATGGTTATAGGTGTCCAACATTCTTCAAAATATCTTCTTTTGTATTCAATAGAAAAAAGAAACTTCTAAACAAATCGGAACCACTTGAGCGTGAGTAAATAGTCACTTTTGGGTGAACTACCCCCTAAGGATTTCCAAAAATGAATACAATTTCTTTTTCAACATACAAAGTAACACCATGTCCATCTTTTCCATGTTAAAAGGAATGTTTGTGTCCTAACCATCTGGACAGAGGAAAGAAATTCAATTCATAATCCACACGATGGAGAGTGTACTTCATTTTTGGATGAACTACCCGTGCAAGATATTAAACCGCAGCTCAATATGTTGATGGGAACACAAACATTACTCACGCTTTTTTGGTCCCGTAGCTCTTGTAGTCGATGGCAGCTGAAATGCCCACCACCACACAGGGGAACAGGTAGCCTGATGCGTAATAGTATTTGCGTCTGGAGAATTCGCTCTCAAAGACCTCCACGAGCATGAGGAACAGCTGAACGCCCTCCAAACACATCCAGGAAAATGCAGCGAGGAAGAAGAAATGCAGGACTCCAGCAATCACCGAGCACACAATCTGAACGCAAAAGAAACCGGAGGAGTTCAGCCTTCCAAACAAGTGCAGATTTTCTTTAGAAGAACTTCATTGATCCAAAAAAAAAAAACTAAAATTAATTAAAATAAAAGAGTACCCACCGGAGGCTCGGTCATGTTGATGCCCACCAGAAAGAGCAGCTCTGCTATGAAGAGGTTGATGCAGAGGTTTTTGTGGATTGTGTTGCGGTCACTCTGAAGGCCACGGAAGAAGCAGAAGGTGAAGATGCTAATGGCTAGGCAGACAAGAGAAACGGCGATGCCCAGTCGAGTGATGACCGTCAGCAGGAGCTCGTGAACGCTTCCCTCACCCTTGAAAAACAAACAGCAGCATTAAAAGCCATGTCAGCAATGCGTAAATGCAGCATATATGCAGTCAAATTCAACCATTTGGGGAAAATGTATTTGCTCTTCTTTCTGAAGTGTGTTTGATGGAACTTTTATTGGACATTTGGGAGCAGAGGACAGTTCTTGCAGTAGAAATCATACACAAGGAAGTATATTTTGTATGTGTATTGCAAAAAACCTCACTCGACAAATCTGCTACCTTTCTAGAGAACTTCGAAATGTGTTACACCTAATAATAAGAGGAAATAAAGAATATAAACTTAACTAAACTAAAGTAAACTTGTGTAATATAATATAACGTAAAGTAAACTGAAGGTAACATCTTGTAATGTAACAACCTGATGTCTTGTAATGTCTTGTGACTAAATTAAACTTAATTTAATGTCTTGAAATGTAACAACGTCTTGTGACTTAAGTTTTGTAACTTGATTAAACTTAATGTAATGTAACTTAACCTCACGTCTTGTAATGTATTGTAACCTAATTTAAGTTGAGGTAATGTAACTTAACGAAACGTCTTGTAATGTGACAATGTCTTGTAACATAACATCTTGTAACGTAATTTAACTTAACGTAATGTAACTTAACGTAATGTCTTGTAACTTGATTTAACTTAACATAATGTAACTAAACGTCTAGTAACGTAACGTTTTGTAACTTGATTTAACTTAATGTAACTTAACCAAACGTCTTGTAATGCATTGTAACTTAATTTAACTTGAGGTAATGTAACTTAACCAAACGTCTTGTAATGTGACAACATCTTGTAACATAACGTCTTGTAACGTTATTTAACTTAATGTAATGTAACTAAACCTAATGTCTTGTAATGTAACAATGTCTTTTAGCGTAACGCCTTGTAACTGGATTTAACTTAATGTAATGTAACTTAACGTAACGCCTTGTAACGTAAAGATTTGTAAATTAATTTAACTTAACGCAATGTAATTAACGTAAAATCTTGTAACATAACGTCTTGTAACCTAATTTAAAATAACTTAATTTAACGTAACTTAACTAAAAATTCAAATTTAATGAGTAACTCACAAATAACATAACCTAACGTAACTTAACTTAATGTAACCTAACTTAACGTTACATCTTGTGACATAACATCTTGTAACATAAAGTAACTTAAAAATTCTAATTTAATGAGTAAGTTTTGAATAACTTTACATAACGTAACAACTTACAATATCTTAACGTAATGCTTTGTCACAAAGTAAACTTAACTTAATGTAACGTAACATCTTGTTGCGTAACTTAATTTAACGTAATGTATTGCAACTTAACGTAAAGCAACTTAACGTAATGCAACTAAATGTAACGTCTAGTAAAGTAAAATTTAACGAGTAGCATTTTAAGTTAAGACCTAAGCTGAGAAACTTTGCGCAAAATGCCCCCTGGTGCTCAAATGATCTTAAAAAGTTGTCATGTCCAACAAACAAACAAAAAGGCTGTATGCATGAAAGCACCAATAATGCCATATAACGAATATTAAACAATCAGCTTTCATCTTCAATGCTCCTGCAATAATTTGACTATTCAAATCAAGACAACAGTATTTAAGTAGAAAAAAAGGCACAATAGAGATTATTAATGTCTGTGTTCAGTTGGCACAAACTGTAGTTGGTGAAACTTGATTCGACAATCCCTGTGGATCCGCATTCGATTGAACTTGTTTAGAAAGTTCAAGAAAAATTCAAGGATTTTATTGAGACTCATCTTCAGTTGTGCACCTCTGAGTCCTTCGGGGGGTTCAACCATTTAATAACAATATACCCTCTTCTGTGGCGGGGTCCCTTGACTGGCCTCTGTTTAGTTGTTTAGTTGTTTCTCTGAGAGCACGACTGCCATGTCACAAAGATTAACACCTCGCTGAGCTTACTTTTTAACACACACTTAATGTAAGCCTCAGGTGTCGCAGATCACTGGCTGAACGTGTGATGTATACAAAATGCACACAAAATACAAAAAGTTTGGGATTCTCAGGCACCGTCTCATCCTACGTGATATGCGCGTCACATTCACAAGTCCGCATGCACCGGGTTATTTGTTTCACATTGTGATGTAGAGAAACCGGATATTAAATAAGAAACAGAGGGTGTGGCTTGTTTTTCCTCTACTGCAAAATGATTGGCTGTTATGTAAAGTTTGTCGCAAAATCTGACTGAATTTTTTCATTGATTGCATGCCATCGACTTGCCATGTTTTACGCCTATAAATGTGATGCTGTACAAAACAGACTGAACAGACTAGATGGGATCACATGATGTCTCTTGGGCAGTGATTCCCCAATTAAAGCTGCTCTATGTAATGTACTCCGTCTCAATGCTATCTAGTGATCTCGGTCACACAGATATCATGTCAGTCCAACGTTTTCACAGTGTATTCCTCCATAAAGATGATTGGTTGTGAGAGGAACTTCTATATAGTAGTCCTTTTAGAAATTGGAGGGCTGATTGGATATTATGAGACACAGCATTGCGATCTTCATCAGCTGTTTCAATGCTATCTTGGGATCTCGGTCACAGAGATATCATGTCAGGCCAAATTTGCACACTGTAATACTCTATAAGGCTAATCATTTTCCAAATCTGAGGACTGATTGGTCATTATAAGACATAACATCCAGAGTTTTATATTTTGCGCAGATGAGACAACTCATTATATTTCCCACTGTGGTCCACAGGTCTTTCCAAGTAAATCTCACTGTCATCCAGCAGTCTTGCTTGAATTGAGATATGGATTTAATGGGTGTAGTCGCTTCTTCTAGGTGCACCAATTCCACCATTGCAAGGCATGCCTTTTGTGTCTTGAACAAATCTCTTTCTTCCAGTGTTGTACCTTACCTACGATATCCCAGAATGAAAGGCTTGACTTTGCATCCTGGACCATCAATTTTGGACAATCATAATTATCATCTTCTCAATGCCTTCCCATGTCATCCATGTCTTGCTTGACTTGAGATATGGATTTAATGGTTGTAGATGCTTCTTCTAGGTGCACCAGTTCCACCATTACAAGCTATGCCTTTTGTTACATGACCAAATCTCTTTCTTCCAGTGTTGAACCTTGCCTACAATATCCCAGACTGAAACGCTTGACTTTGCATCCTCGATCATCAATTGTGGACCATATTTTTCATCTTCTCAATGTCCTCCCATGCCATCCAGAAGTCTTGCTTGACTTGAGACATGGATTTAATGAATGTGAATAATTCTTCTAGACGCACCAACATTGCAAGTTATGCCTTTTCTTTCTTGACCAAATCTTGACTTGAGATATGGATTCAGTGATCATATATTATTCTAATAAGTGCACCAACTCATCAACATTGCAAGTTACACATTTATTTTTTTGCTGAAAATCTCTTTTTTCCAGTGTTGAACCTTGCCTACGATATCCCAGACTGAAAGGCTTGACTTTGCATCCTGGACCATCAATTGTGGACCATATTTGTCATCTTCTCAATGTCCTCCCATGCCATCCAGCAGTCTTGCTGGACTTGAGATATGGATTTAATCATTGCAGATGCTTCTTTCAGGTGCACCAACTCCACCATTGCTAGTTTTGCATTTTGTTTGTAACACAAATCTTTTTTTTCCAGTGTTGTAGCATGCCTAAGATATTCCAGAATGAAAGAGTTGACTTTGCATTATGGATCATCAATTTTGGACCATCATAATTATCATCTTCTTAATGCCTTTCCATGTCTTGCTTGACTTGAGATTTGGATTTAAGGGTTGTAGACGCTTCTTCCAGGTGCACCAGTACCACCATTGCAAGCTATGCCTTTTGTTTCTTGACCAAATCTCTTTCTTCCAGTTTTGTACCTTGCCTAAGATATCCAGAATGAAAGGCTTGACTTTGCATCTTGGACCGCCAGTTGTGGACCAACATAATTCTCATCTTCTTAATGTCCTCCTATGTCATCCAGAAGTCTTGCTTGACTTGAGACATGGATTTAATAAATGTGAATAATTCTTCTAGACGCACCAACATTGCAAGTTATGCCTTTTCTTTCTTGACCAAATCTTGACTTGAGATATGGATTCAATGATCATATATCATTCTAATAAGTGCACCAACTCATCAACATTGCAAGTTACACATTTATTTTTTTGCTGAAAATCTCTTTTTTCCAGTGTTGAACCTTGCCTACGATATCCCAGACTGAAAGGCTTGACTTTGCATCCTGGACCATCAATTGTGGACCATATTTGTCATCTTCTCAATGTCCTCCCATGCCATCCAGCAGTCTTGCTTGACTTGAGATATGGACTTAATGGTTGTAGACGCTTCTTTGCAAGGCATGCCGTTTGTGTCTTGAACAAATCTCTTTCTTCCAGTGTTGTACCTTGCCCACGATATCCCTGAACGAAAGAGTTGATCTTGCATCCTGGATCATCAACTGTGGACAATCATAATTCTCATCTTGTCCCATGTAGACACTTTCTAGGTGCACCAACTCCTCAATACCTAGTAATGCATTTTGTTTGTAACCCAGAACTATTTCTTCCAGTGTTGTACCTTGCCTATATCTTAGAATGAAAGGGTTGACTTTCAATGCTGGATTGTGCTGTTAGTCTTGTAATGTGCTCAGTCTCAATGCTATCTTGGGATCTCGGTCACATAGATATCATGTCAGCCCAACGCTTTCACGCTGTATTCCTCCATAAGTCCAGTAATTGGTTGTGAAAGGGCCCTGTTTCCATATAGTCCTATCCTGCTGAGACATCTGGGTAAGCCGAGCCAATTCCTCATGTGTGAGCTAATCAATCACTCCAGCTCGCTGACCCGTCTAAGGGTGACTTTGCACAAAGTAATTGGCCAGAAAGACAGGGCAGCTCAAACTTTGGTGCCTCCAATTTGGGCCGGTGCCCTGTCTTTCCTGAGAGGCAAGTACTGTTGATGCTGAGGTCAGACACAATATCCGTTCTTATCTGTTGCACTTATGTGTTGTTTAAGTTCACATCCAACCAGCATCCAGGCTGTTACTTGGCACAGCAAAAAATGCTTTTCTTTCTTAGATTTTATGTCTTGTTTCTAGTCCAAATATCAAAAAGTCTTAAATCGAGAAGCACTTTCTAGACATGCAAAACATATCGTCTAGTTTTAAGAAATAATATGTCAAAATAAAGTGAGTTTTTACCAAAAACAAGCTAAATAATCTGCAAATGGGGTCAGCAAAAGTAAAAATCAAGATTATATTGCTTACCCCGTTTTTTGTGCCCGTTTTAAGGAAAAACTCACTCAATTTTAGCACATTAGTTATTAAAACAAGACTAAATGTTTTGATTGTCTAGAACAAGGGTGGCCAAACTCAGTCCTGGAGGGCTGGTGTCCTGCAGATTTTAGATCCAACTTGCCTCAACACACCAGCGGGGATGTTTCTAGAAAGCCTAGTAAGAGCTTGATTAGCTAGCCCAGGTGTGTCTGATTGGGATTGGAACTAAACTTTGGAGGACACCGGCCCTCCAGAACCGAGTTTGGGCACCCCTGGTCTAGAATATGCTTCTATTATGGGTTTTTGAAAACGACCTTCTATCGGGTGTGTAACACAGCTCTGAAAACATCCAGCTAAGGTTTAAATCTGAAAGTGCACAATGTTTAAAACGTAACCAAATAGTCGACTCAGAGTTGAATGAATGAATCGAGTTGGGTTTGAATTGTTTGCTTGAACGCACTGATGTCGATACGGTACATCCCCAAATATGAAGTGCCAGATCTGTTAAAATGTGAACATGCCTTCCCTTCAGACACTAGCGTATCGCAGGGGATCACGGGACTGATCATGACACAAAGATGACGATCACTGACAAATGGAGATTTGGCTGAGGGGAATAAAGGGTTTGGTGCCCAAACTCGGTCCTGGAGGTCCAGTGTCCTGCAAAGTTTAGTTTCAACCCCAATCCGACACACCTGGGTTAGCTAATCTAGCTCTCAGTTCATCACAACAATACAACAGTATAAACAACCTAGTGTTTGCTCCTGTCATTTTCTGATTGTTTGATACAATAACCTATACTGCGCAGGATTCGTCGGCCGTTTGTTATTACAGGAAGGAGCAGCAGAGACTATTAAGTATGGGACTTTGTCAGACATTGAGTCAGTAACTGTTACAGTTCATATGGACCAGTTGCTTCTTCCTCCAAATCATAACATGTAAGTGTGATTAAAATTGTTGCCTTGTTTTGTGTAGTTTGCAAAATATGTGTTTAACTGTGTGTTGTGATTGCCTCGCGCAGCTTGTAATCACGAATCTATCATAGATCAGTGCTTGTACCGAATCTCTCAGGTTGTATCTGTATGGGGCTGTTCACATAACGCGTCCAAAACCACGTTGAAAACGTGACGCGTGTTCTTCCTTTACCAATGTAAATGCGTTTCTGAACTCGCGATCCTCTGCTGTTTGCTATGGCCACCATCAGCTGTTCCTCACAGTGCATTTTCAAAATAGTTCAACTTCTGCCACTCTGTGGATTAATACTGAATTCGTGTCATTGTTATTAACTGGGGTTAGTGTGAAGAGTAGTGTTAAACTGCATTGCTTTACTGCACTCCTGCATTCGGCTCTCACATACTCTGTGCTACTTCATAGCCGTGGTGGGCGTTTCTCTCTGTCTCATGCTGAGCGCAGTTGACCAATCATCACAGACTGGGTTATCGTCCAATCAGCACAGATTAGCTTCGGGCTAAGAAGGGGTTTGGGAACCAATGAATCGCTAAATGAATCATATGGGAGTTGTTGGGATAATTAGGTAAAAATAAATGCATATGTCGGCACCAATAGCCTAGTGGTTAAGTGTGCCGGAATATAGCACCTAGGTGCTCACGGCGACGGTGAGAATACTGGGAAACGTCTCTAGACTGATGGCATTTCATGCTGTTCGGTCTTATAATCTTAAAATGTGAGCAAAATCAGCAGTTTTGTCATCACTTTAGACATTACGCTAGAGAATCATTCAGATACTAGCTCTAAATGACGTTGGTGAAGTAGCAAGGGTTTTTGTCAGCTGCAGATGTGAATAAACGGCGGAAGAAAGTAGTTCCTCATACAAAAGGGTTTTGAGACTTTTTTATATACACAATTATGGCGTAAACTGTTGTATAAACACAATATCACGCGAGCAGCGGTGTGATATGGCTGTATATAGTCACTGGTGAGAGACTGGCTTGTGGCCTTGTTTTTGACTTCTCGGCCTTGATCTGACACTCACCGCATGTGAATCTCGATGCACCATCAGGATTGCGAAGTTGGTCAGGTGACTGCAGGAACAGGTGGTGTGTGTTTTGTTCGTGGATAAGAGTTTGCAGCCCTGTGTGGACCAGTAACCGGACATGCTCCTCTCTGAATAGTTCCAAAACGAGCAGTTCGGGTTAAAGTAGTTCTCCGTCTGGCAAATAGAAACAATGTGGGGTTATTAAAACCTTTGCAAAGCTATCTGCAAGCCTTCGGGATTCACACTTCTTAATAATATTGGCACAAAGTTTCATAATCAAACAAATCTTTTCCTTAATCAACAGTCTATAATATATGTCCATTTTAAAGAGTACCCATTATGCAAAAATATATATTTTTTAAAAATGGTAATAGTAAAAATTTATCATCTATTTGTATAACCACACTGCATAAAAAACACAGTCTGCAGACAAAAAACGTTTCCTAAAAGACAAGATATTAAGGGAAATACTGCAAATATGTCATAGTAGGAAAAAGAAATACTATGGAAGTCAATGGTTACCGGTTTTCAACATTCTTCAAAATATCTTCTTTTGTGTTTAACAGAATAAACCTGTATCCATTGGCTTTCATAGTAGGAAGAAGAAATACTATGAAAGTCAATGGTTACAGGTTTATACTGTTAAACATGAAAAACGATATTTTGAAGAATGTTGAAAACTGGTAACCATTGAAATTCAAAGTATTTCTTTTTCCTAATATAGAAGTAAATGGTGACCGGTTTTTAACATTCTTCAACATATTTTCTTTTGTGTTTAACAGAGTAAACCTGTAACTATTGACTTCCAACGTATTTATTTTTCCCACTATGAAAGTCAATGGATACAGGTTTATTCTGTTAGAAAGAAGATATTTTGAAGAATGTTGAAAACTGGTAACCATTGACTTTCATAGTATTTCTTTTTCCTAATATAGAAGTAAATGGTTACCGGTTTTTAACATTCTTCAACATATCTTCTTTTGTGTTTAACAGAATAAACCTGTAACTATTGACTTCCAACGTATTTATTTTTCCCACTATGAAAGTCAATGGATACAGGTTTATTCTGTTAGAAAGAAGATATTTTGAAAAAGGTTGAAAACTGGTAACCATTGACTTCCATAGTAGGAAAAATAAATTCTATGGAAGTCAATGGTTACCAGTTTTCAACATTCTACCAAATATCTTCTTTTTGTCTTCAACAGAATAAGGAAACTCAATAGTTATAGTTATAGTTATAGTTTAAAGGGGGCTAATAATATTGACCTTAACACATTTTATAAAAACTGCTTTTATTCCATCCAAAATAAAACAAATAAGAAATATTATAGGAAATACTGTGCAAAATTCCTGAATCTGTTAAACATCATTTTTTAAATGTTTGAAAAAGATATTAACAAAAAGGCTAATCATTTTCATTTCAAATGTATGTATAGTTTAATGACGCATGCATATGTATTACACAATCTAGGCCAGTGTTTCCCAACCATGTTCCTGAAGGCACACCAACAGTACACATTTTCAACCTCTCCCTAATCAAACACACCTGAATCAACCTGAAGTTAATGGGTCAGATAAGGGAGACATCCAAAATAGGAACACGGTTGGGAAACACTGATCTAACCTACAAAAAAATGATCAATGCACACTGTGCTAATCCTTTAAATGAGCAAACAAAAAATTGATTTCTTACGTCCAGATGCTCGAGAGTGAATATGACGGGCTCGGACACGAACACGCGGCTGGACTCTTTGTTGATGGATGCGGACAGGATGTGTGAGTTGACGGTGAGAGTGTGGTTTCTGAGGCCTCCGTCTCCCATCAGCCTCACTGTGGCGTTTTCAGTACTCAGGAAATGTCCCAAGTGCTTATAAAGCACGAAAACCAGCTTGGCGACACCTAGAACAAACACATGATAACAGACCATTAACACTTGGCTGGAAAAATGAATGGAACCTATCGACCTCAAACAATCTGGGTCACGTGGCATTTAAGAAACAATCCAATTAATTGTACAGTTTAATAGTTTAGATTTCTGAATCCTTTCAGACTACGTCCAAGTCTGGTGGGAGCACTTTTAGCTTAGCTTAGCATAGATCATTGAATCGAATTAGACCGTTAGCATCTCATGCACAAACAAGGGTTTTGATAATCTTTCTACTTACAGCTTGACTCTTCTGTAGTTTCATAATGTACTATGACCGACAGAAAATGAAAAGTTGCTATTTTCTAGGCTGGATAGGAACTATATGGATAGGAACTATTCTATACTCTCATTCCGGCGTAATGAAGGAATTTTGCTGCTGTACAATGGCTGCAGCAGAAGCAGTTATAATACGCAGTGCTGTTAACTATTTTCAAAAGCTACGTGTTTTCATTGGTTCTGCTGCAGCACAATTTCAGAAATTTTTGAATGAGATGCTAATGGTCTAATCCGATTCAATGATCTATGCTAAGCTAAAAGTGCAATTCCTGAATTTGTACACACATTTAGAAAATGTCAAGGTAGTTATATGGATTTTATTTGAACAAACTGATTAAATTCCAAAAAGTTTAAACGACAAAATTACCAAACATAAAATAAGATATTTTGAAGAATGTTCCAATGTACAAAATAAAAAAAATAAACCTGCTGAATACGTTTGTTGTTGTTGAATCAATTGAATATTTTTATTCAAAATATCTTCTATTGTGTTCAACAGAAGAAAAAAATGAGCACTTAAATAAAATATAAAGTATAAAGCATGATCTTATTCTGCATGCCTAACCCTACCCAATACCTAACGCCAACTATTACCTTGATATCTATCAATAACCAGCTAATTAGTAGTTTATTAAGCTAAAATTCTTAGTTCACGGTTTGTTAATAGCATGAGTTGTACATTAAAATAAACTGTGACCGAATACTTCTAAGGGTCTGAAATTACTCAAGGATGCAGTTTTATTTTTTGGGTGAACTACCCCTTTAACTAAGCATCCGAAGCTCTAAGCATTTAAAATGAGCATGAGCTTGTGATTGTTTGTTTATTTTTACCGTTTTTGCTGTTGAGTTTGACCATGTTGGCAGAGAGCTGAATGGTGGCTCCTCTTTTGCTGGTTTGTGGAAACCTGAAGTCCTGGATTTGTCCGTCGGTGCTCAACACGTACACATCCAACACTGAATAGAGACACAAAATACAAAGACATGAACTATTATTGAGGAAAAAAAGAGACACTTTCTTACATTCTTCAGGTTAGATGGAAATTACACCCAAAAAAAACCTTTATGACTTTGCTTTTTCAGTTAAACGCAAAAGAAGATATTTTGAAAAATGTTAGAAAACTTATAGTGGGGAATAAAACATACTATGGAATTCAACGGTTACCGGTTTTTAACATTCTTCAAAATAGCTTCTTTTGTGTTTAACAGAATAAACCTGCAATCATTGACTTTATGGTAGGAAGTAAAAAACTATGGAAGTCAATGGTTACACATTTGAATATGTAACCATTGACTTTTATAGTAAAAAAAATACCATAAAAGTCAATGGTTACCGGTTTTCAACATTTTTCAAAATATCTTCTTTTTTGTTTAACAGAATAAACCTGTAACCCTTGACTTTCATAGTCGGAAAAAAATATACTATGGAATTCAATGGTTACCAGTTTTCAACATTTTTCAAAATATCTTCTTTTTTGTTTAACAGAATAAACCTGCAACCATTGACTTTTGTGGTAGGACAAACAAATAGTATAGAAGTCAATGGTTACCGGTTTTCAACATTCTACAAAATATATTTTTTGGTGTTTAACAGAAAAAACCTGTAGCCATTGACTTCCATAGTAGGAAAAACAAGTACTACAGAAGTCAATGGTTACCGGTTTTTAACATTCTACAAAATATCTTCTTTTTTGTTTGACAGAATACTCCTGCAACCATTGACTTTCATAGTAGGACAAACAAACACAACAGAAGACAATGGTTATTGGTTTTTAACATTCTTCAAAGTATCTTCTTTTTGTGTTTAACAGAATAAAGAAAACTCAAACAATTGGTGACAAGTGAAATGGTGAGGATTTTTCAGTTTTTGAGTGAACTATCCTTTTAATAACTGTTCCATTAAACCAGTGTGAGGTGATTTCATTAAAACAAGACACTGTGAAGAGAGCGAATCAAGAAGAAAGCAATATAATTGTGTTTAAAAGCTTCCTAATGCACTTCAGCCCAAATAATAGTGCTTCTACCACATCACACAATTCCCAAATACGAAATAAAGTACAATAAATGCTGTTCCCACTGGCTCCTTAATTAAAAACAGCTCATTCATTACTATTAACTGAATGTTGAGGCATTCTTTCCCACATCCTCCACACTGGGCTTTGTGACATTGGTTTGTCTTTTGATGTGAAAGCAGAAGATCTGAGCTATGTTCCAGGGTTGATTCTCTTTTGTCTGACACCAGCAGAAAGATACCGGCACACAAAAAATCAGGCGGATTTTGGATGGAGTTACAGTAAAGATTACAGTAAACAGACTTTAAACAGCAGCTTTAAAAAAATGTAGTTATTATGATTAACTAAAATTGTGTACAAAAACAAATACTATGCAAGTTAATGGTTAACTGTTTTCAACATTCTTCAAAATATCTTCTTTAGTGTTTAACAGATAGAGCCTGTAACCATTGATTTTAATAGTAGGAAAAAGAAATACTTTGGAAGTCAATATCAAAGATATTTTGAAGAATGCTGAAAACCAGTAACCATCGACTTTTATAGTATTTGATTTTTTCTACTATGAAAGTCAATGGTTACAGGTTTATTCTGTTAAACACAAACGGAGATATTTTGAAGAATGTTGAAATCCAGTAACCATCGACTTTTATAGTATTTGATTTTTTCTACTATGGAAGTCAATGGTTACAGGTTTATTCTGTTAAACACAAACGGAGATATTTTGAAGAATGTTGAAAACCTGTAACCATTTACTTTTATAGTATTTGTTTTTCCTACTATGGAAGTCAATGGTTACAGGTTTATTCTGTTAAACACAAAAGAAGACATTTTAAAGAATGTTGAAATCCGGTAACCACCGACTTTTACAGTACTTGATTTTTCTACCATGGAAGTCAATAGTTACAGGTTTATTCTGTTAAACACAAAAGAAGATATTTCAAAGAAAGTTGAAAACCGGTAACCATTAACTTGTATAGTTTTTGTTTTTCATACAATGGAAGTCAATAGTTACAGGTTTATTCTGTTAAACACAAAAGTAGATGTTTTGAAGATTGTTGAAATCCGGTAACCATTGACTTGTATAGCATTTGTTTTTCCTACTATGGAAGTCAATAGTTACAGGTTTATTCTGTTTAACACAAAAGAAGATATTTAGAAGAATGTTGAAATCCGGTAACCATCGACTTTTACAGTACTTGATTTTTCTACCATGGAAGTCAATAGTTACAGGTTTATTCTGTTAAACACAAAAGAAGATATTTCAAAGAAGGTTGAAAACCTGTAACCATTGACTTTTATAATTTTTGTTTTTCATACAATGGAAGTCAAAAGTTACAGGTTTATTCTGTTAAACACAAAAGTAGATGTTTTGAAGAATATTGAAATCCGGTAACCATTGACTTGTATAGCATTTGTTTTTCCTACTATGGAAGTCAATGGTTACAGGTTTATTCTGTTAAAACAAAAGAATTTATCTAGAAGAATGTTGAAAACAGGTAACCATTGACTTTTACAGTATTTGTTTTTTCTACTATGGAAGTCAATAGTTACAAGTTTAGTCTGTTAAACACAAAAGAAGATATTTCGAAGAATGTTAACCATTGACTTCTATAGTATTTTAAATAATAATAATAAAAAATATTATATCCATGGTATTATACTTTATACACCTTTATTACTATAAAAAATATTTAAATTTGACAGGAGGGATAATAATTTGCTCTTGGATTGTAAATACACTCTAACATTTTTGCAAATATTTACCAGTGTTTTCCTATTACACTTGGCCCTATATTTGATCTGTCAGTTTTTATGGCCTCAGTCTGTCTGAGCTTCTACATATATTCTCAGACAGACACAGTGATGGTGAAATCAGATCACACACACACACACACACGCACACACACACACGCGCACACGCACACACACATGCACGCACACACAGGCGCACACACAGGCGCACACACAGACGTCCCACTGGATTAATACACATGATCTGTTAGTCATGTTTCAGAGCAGACGGTTTTTACATTATCTCTCTTCACATTCATCATGCAGATTTAAACAGAGTTCTATTGCAGTAAACTCAGATAAAATACAAAGAGAATGTATGAAATATGTATTGCATTCTATTTTATCGATGCATATTAAACATTGCGTCAGGTTTCGGTAAACTGAGGTTTGTGAAAGAGCCGCTGGCACTTCATGAACGCACTGAATAAACACTGAATAAACAATATCTGCTGTCCATAGGAAACACACACTTTATACATCAGCGCAATGTTTGGCGAACGGGAAATGATGTGTGTAAATCCAGTGATCAGAAACTAATTATGATGAGTGATTATCATCATCTGAATAGACGCTGGAGTGCAATTACGCAAAGCTGAAGACCTGGACACATGCAGACTTCATTAGGAAAGAGACATTTCAAATGGAGAATTTTTCAGTGGAGTTAATAAATGATGGAAAATATGGATGTTTATTTGAAGAGATCCTAAATGAAACTTTTTAAATGGTTTATTTATTTATCTAAAGTATGCTCCACTTAAAAGTTTGACCTTGATTTATGAACAAAATTAAATTAAATTAAAAATAAATAAATAAATAAATAAATAAAACAATATAAATAAATAAATTCATGCCATTTTGAATATTTTAATTGAGTGAAAAAATATATTAATTAAAAATATGATAAATATGTTTTTAAAATATAAATAAAATCATATAACAAAATGTAATAAATAACAATAATAAATTAATTGAAATAATTAATTATATAATGAATAATAGAAATTCATGCCATTTTAAATATTTTACTTGAGTACAAAAAAGTAATCATTAAAAAATATATTAAGTATTTTTAAATATAATAAAATAATATTAATTAATTAAAATACATTCATGACACTTTAAAGATTTAACTTGAGTAAATAAATTGCAATAATTAAAAATATATATTAAATACACTTTCAGAATATCAGTAATTAAATAATAAAATATTATAAAAATAATAGTAAATAAACAATAAATAAAATAAATTCATGCCATTTTGAATATTTAGTTAATAAAATGTAATCCTTAAAAAATACATTAAATAGATTAGTAAAAATCTAAATAAATAAAAATAAAATATATAATAAAGAAGTAATAATAAATAATGGATAAAATAAAATATATTCATGCCTTTTTGAATATTTTACCTGAGTGAAAAAAATATAATAATTAAAAATATATTAAATGTGTTTTTAAAATATAAATAAAAAATATATAATAAAATATAATAAATAATAAATAAAAAAAACTATTACTTAAAATAAGTTCATGACATTATGAGTATTTTACTTGAGTGAAAATAATGTAAGTGTAAAAAATATATAAAATACATTAAGTATAAACAAAGTAACAAAATATAAAAAATAAATATCAATAAAAAATAAAAAATAGAAAAAATAAATCAATTCATGCAATTTTGAATATTTACTTAAGTAAAAAAGTAATTATTAAAAATATATACTAAACATTTTTAAATATATATAAATAAAAATATAATTAAATAATAAAATAATATTAATTAATAAATTAAAATACATTCATGACATTTTGGATATTTTACTTGAGTAACTTGTAATAATTAAAAAAAATATATTAAACAAATTGAGGCCATTTTGAATATCTTACTTGAGTGAATAACTTGTAATAATTAAATATATATATTAAACATTTTTTTCAAAATATAAATAAATAAAAAATATGATTGAAAATGATAGTAAATAAAAATAAATAAAATTAATTCATGCCATTTTGAATATATTACTTGAGTGAATACAACGTAAAAAGTAAAAATATATATTACATATTTAAAAATATGTAAACAAAAATAAAAAGTATTATAAATAAAATAAATAAAGTTATAATAATAAATAAAATAAATGTATGCCATTT